AGTTTTCCAATCCAGCAGCTGAAATGAAAGGAATTCAGTACTGGAGACATATGCAAGCATCCATATTGTATAAAACAAACCAACCAACAAACAAAAATTTTCAGCCAAGAGTTTTCCAAATATTTGCTTCAAATCAAAGACCCTGAAAGTTTAACACTGGTCAGAAGTGGTATAGAGCCTGGTTATTAAAATAAAAGCTTTATACTTTCAAATATTTATAGTATGCTTTGACATACCCTATATTCTTTTGTCCTTTAACAGCCCTTCCAGATATTATGTTCTTCATATTCCAGATGAAAAAGCTAAGGCTCAGATGAACAAAATACCATGTGTTGGAGCAGACCTGAGACTCAAGCTAAGACCTTGGGTTCCCTAACCAGTCTCTCCTCCTTCACCACCAGCACTGCTACAGGCTTTGAAGCTCTGCTCTTTGAGGCCATAGTTTTAGTTTGTAAGCAAAATCTTCACCTCCCAGACCATACATTCTTCTGGGCTCAGCCTGATTGACTTTGCTTGCCTGGCATGCAGGTGTCCATTCCATAGTCCCCAATATGGATGTATCAATGTTACTCGAAGTCAGTTATAGATTTAGTGAAGTGATTTCACAGGCTTAGCCTTCTTTTGATGAATCTAACAATTTAACCTACATGGAAATATGAACAGGCCAGGAGATAAAAACTTAGTGGACAGTGTTTTCAGAGCTAGTTAGTCAAAGCAGACCAGAGAACTGGACTCTTAGATTAAAGCCTATAGAGTTGTTATTTTCTACCTGTGAATACTTGAGGACGCATCTGTGATTTGTGGTAAATGTAAGGAGAGGACAGTCCAATGATTGTGAAAGATGATTTTAATATGTCTTTATAAAAATAACTCCCTCAATATAAATAACATTAGATGTTTCCCTTAATTTATTGGTCTATTATTACATTAATTTTTTATCCTCACCTGAGGACATGCTTACTGATATTAGAGTGATGGGAAGGAAAGGAAAGAGAGAAAAACATGATGCAAGAAAAAACATCGATCCATTGCCTCTCTTATGCTCCCTGATCAGGACCAAACCCACAACCCAGGCATGTGCCTTGACCGGCAATGGAGCCCATGATCTTTAGTTATGAAATGATGTTCCAACGACCTGAGCCACACCAGTGAGGGCAATTATTACATTAAATTTATGTTAATTTAAATTCTGCATCTAAAAGAATTCCATGGAAAGCTAGTTGCTACTTTTGCTAAGGCAGATGGTAAGTAATACACTATTCATGATATTGGCTTTCAGATAAAACAGGAGATAATAGGAATAAGGAGAGTTAAAAATGGTTCTTTTGAAAAGGAAAGGCAATGAAATTGGAATAAAAACCTTTGTGGGAAACCCAGAGGTGGACTTAGGAGCTCTCCCTACACTTGGCAAGTCTGAGAAAACTGTAATCATATGGCGTCTAGCTGAGGGTGAGCCTGAGGTGGGCTAGACAAGTGCCCAAGCTTGACTAGCACACTATTCCAGCTCTGCTCCTGGTACCAAGTCCATGTGGTCAGCAAATAGAATTGTCTGCAAGGGGGCCAGAAGCTGCAGTGGGGGTGTATCTAGGTACCAGAGTGGTCAACACACCCAAGCAAAGAAAGTGAGCTTGTAGGAGTAAAACATTCTCCTTCAGACTCCAACATAAAGCCTAGAAACTGTCTCTGTCAGGACAGTTAAACTGTTGCAGTGGAGTAAGAGATGATCATTTACCTTTTTAAAAATAAAGAATACAGTACCTTTGCCTTGTTTCAACATGCACTATCTTACCAGAGATGGAAGCTCTACTTATTTGTAACATGTTTGTATTTCTACAGCAAAAAAAGAAGAGCTTAGAAGAATAGGTTAAATCTGTTCCTTTCCCAGGAGCCTAAACTCTCCAGGTTCTGACATCAGGGCCTCCCTATCTCTCTGGTGGATGTATCACTTAATTGCAGGTGGGAGCTGCTCTTAAGTACTTCATTAACATTGCTGTATTCCACCTTGCTCTCCAAGAATTCTAGGATTATTCACCCAGGGCAGAGTTGACAACTTGGGGGCACACATTTGAGATTTCAATAAGTCTTAAGCTTCTGAAATACTTACATACACCAAATACTACGAAAGGAAATGAATAGATAGTTGTCCTCTCACCTTTTCTTTTCTATGGTCAACATCATCAAAAAGTCTGTTGGCATGTTTCTAAGCATGGCAAAACAGCAGTATTAAAGAGGAGAAATAAGGAATTTAAATTTAAGCTGACTGAAAAAATCAGCATATATGTGCAAATTAATTATAAAGTTCTGTACTATACATATACATATTTCATGTTTATCAGATTTTTTAATGGCATTGTCTGTGTGGTGAATGCTGTCAAATAACATTCATTTTTAGGATTACTTAAAGATGGATTTACATTTTAATTGAATGTGGAGAAGTTTTATTTTGACTTTCAGTGAAATGTCGGGCTTTTAAAACCTAATAAAGGTAAAATTCTTATTATTTTGGTAACATTTACTTATTCCTGATATATTTTATTTATTTTGGGGTGAAAAACTATTAAATTGTTATGAATATTGACAGAAACCGTCTCACTTTATTTATTTATTTATTTAATTGTTGTTCAAGTACAGTTTTCTGTCTTAGAATAACATGGACTGATATCCTTCACAACCTATAAATACAACATTCCTAATTTTCTAGTTTGCTTTATGGGAAATCAAGGAAGCACACAGAACAAAGCACACACATTAACCTTCGGGGTGGGTGCCGCAGAGGTTGCCTTGATATGTTTTATTCAGTTTCCTCTAACAAGAACTGAAGAAATGATGAAATTACTCTGAGACCAAATATCTTGTTAAAAACATGGGTATAATTCATTTGCTGAGAGGCATGCATTAAAACAAGTAATATCTACTGATTTTCTCTTTCTAAGCTACACTGACATTGAAATAGTTGGAGAACAATATAAGTAATGGATGTGTCTTTTTATGGAAGACATAATTTTTCACCTAAATGTTGGTACCTGCTCATTTTCTTTATCTCAGTAATGGCCCTTTGCCTGTCATGGCCCATGGACAAGTCAGGCCACCACCATCTTCCCAATACACATACCAATTCCCTACATGCATGTCTTTCACTGGTTTCACTGTAGTTGCCCTCACACGTCTTCCTGACTTAGGTATGTTAATCTTGTTGGGGATGGGTATTGAAAAACAGTCCTCTTGTCATAACCTTAGTAACTTCCTTCTCTCGGTTACTTCCTGAGAAAGTTGTTAGGTGCACAGGGCCATTACTGGGCATCTTGTGCACCTAACCATTGGAATTAGGAGTGAAAATAGAAAAGTTCAAGTCGGTTCAGCAAACGGTTATGCCCTATCTGTTCTGTGGTAGGTCCTGGGGTGCAGAGTGATAACCTGCTAAGTTGCAAGGAGCTCAAGGTCTAATAATGTCTTACACTGTCCCTTCCACTTTGCTCCACTGTTGTTCTTATCTGTGCTAATTCCTCTACCTCCTGGGATTGTGTTACACCTTTCCTCACTCTGTTCCTCTGGTATTATCTTTCTTTTAAACACAGCCAGCACCCCATCCCTAACTTTTTAGGAATACAGTTTGTAACTGAAGTCTCCTTAAAGGTTTCTGAATTAAGTAAGAAAAGTTATAAATATTTAACTTTTTCTAAGTTACTTGATCACAAACAGCAGTAAAACAATAAAGTAAACCCCATATTTGGGAGTAAAAGGAACCCCTCGTTTCTTGATTAATTTTGAACTTATTTGTAGTCTATTGGTGATATATGTTCTTAGGTATTAAAAATAAGACAAAGTAGTAATCACACTTGAAAACAATCTAATTTATTTTGAAAAAATAGAATGATTTGTGTGTGTGTGTCTTACAAATTATTTTTAAAAGAAGTATTAGAATTGAGACTTAGAAAAGCCATGGAGTATTTATATTTTTGCCTAAATTTTTAAAATTGAGATCTTTCTTTCACCTACCTCCACAAGCAGAAAGAACCTATTTAGATTTATCTACAAGAAAGTTGTCCTAACAGATGAGAAAACAGGAAGAAAATATGTGGGAAATGTTACAAAACTAAAATATTTCCCTAGGTCATCCAAATTTTTTAAGACAATAATTTCATCTCTCAGAAACATGTATACTCTGCCTGGTTAGTCAAGATGCTCTCAGCTCTTTACCTTTCTTTGCTCCTTACTTCTCTTTCCCTAAGTTCACTTATGACTCCCCTTCTGTCTCTTGCCCTCCCCCCTAAAAGTCACTATAGCTGTACTTTTCAGAGACTATAAAAACTAAATCCTGGCTGTTGAATAAATGATCCTTTCAACATCTCTGAAAATGCCCTAAATCCTCTTTATCTATTCTGATTAAACTTTCTTTTCTAAACAAACACATTTAACTGACTCACAGTTTTTAAATTTTTTCCTCCCTTTTTATTGCTCTAATACTATTTTCTATTGTTTATTTTAAGCATGCAGTATTTCAACTACATTTAGATTAAATAAGCTTTTTATGAAATTTAACCACTATTCATAGCAGTATGTTTTTAGGACTAACAAATGATTTGCTATTACATAGTCTGTTTCAAGCTGGAAAATGTTCCTAACAACATAGATACTCATGTGTGAATTTTGTACCCAGCTTCATTAATTTATAGTTTCACACAGAATGTTGCTTTTAAAAATATTTTTTATTTTAGAGCTCATATTATTACCTAACTTGGAGGTCACTTCATTCTCAACATATGAAGGACATAGTTATCAACACTCTAGCTTATAAATTCTGATTAGTCTATAATAATCGACTGAATTAAACATTACTATGTCAAGCAAGTGGCCTAGTACTTTTTGGTCATTAAAAAATCCAAATGGGATTGACAATTTGCTTCCTGATTGGGTAACAACTGGCCTGTTAAATTTCAATCACAGTGGTCACACCAAGTCAGGTTGTCCTACTGTGCCTATGGTAGATTCTGAGAACTCACTCACTGTAACTCTTTGCCCTCTATTAACTTTTTCAGGCTGTCCTTTACTTCCGTGTTCCGCAGGCTATAGATTAGGGGGTTGAGCATGGGAATCACAAGACTATAAAACACAGAGACCACTCTGTTGTACTTTCGTGAATTTCTTGCTTTAGGTTGCCTCAGGTACATGAAAAACAATGTTCCGTAGAAGATGATGACCACAGTGAGGTGAGAGGCACAGGTGGAAAATGCTTTGCACTTGCCTTCGGAAGACTGGATTTTTGTGATGGAAGAGAGGATGCAAATGTAGGAGATGAGGACAGTCAGGAAGGACCCAGTGAAGTTCACTGTCGAGAAGATCAAGAGCTGCTTTTCTTTGTTGCGGGTGTCTGAACAGGAGAGGGCAAGGAGAGGGGGGTCGGCACAGTAGAAATGGTGGATGACGTTTGAGTTGCAGAAAGACAACTGGAAAGTCAGAATTGTCTGCATCACAGAATTTAGGAAGCCATAGGTATAGACCCCTACCACCAACTCCTTGCAGACCCGCTGAGTCATAATGGCTGAGTAAATCAGGGGCTTGCAGATAGCCATGTAGCGGTCATAGGCCATTGTGGCCAAGAGGAAGCACTCAGTAGTAGCAAAGGCACTGGAGAAGTACAGCTGGGCAAAACAGCCCAAAAAGGAGATGGTTTTTTCCTTCACCAATAAATTTTGCAGCATCTTGGGCACAATGGAAGATGAATAACAAATGTCAATGAATGCCAGGTGGCTGAGGAAATAGTACATGGGAGTTTGGAGCCGGGAATCCACCTCAATGAGCAGTATCATGCCAAGGTTTCCAAGCAGGGTGATGAGATAAATGAACAGGAACACCATGAAGAGTGGAAGCTGAAGCTCAGGGTGGTCTGTGAATCCCATGAGGACAAATTCTGTCACTGTCGTATGATTGTGTCTGGCCATTTTGTTCTCTTGTTGGAAAAAGAAAAAAATATGGCTGCCAAGTGATTAGGTATTTACAAATAAAAGCTTCTTACCTCTTGTTCTAGTACAAGATGACAAAAAAATGGGACTTCATGCTCCCAGTGGTTAAAGGTTGCCTTTAGCCAATAGGCTTTATTTTGCTAAGACAGACCCAGGAATGTCTGAGCTCAGTCATTTTCTCTTTTGATGGAGATTGAGATACTGACCTTCAAGTAAACTGCGCAAAATTATACTCCCAACAATATTATACAAGAATACTGACTTTGTCACAAACCCAGTTTTATCAAATTTTAAACCTTTGCCACTGTGAGGGTGGATATTGGTAACTCATGCCCGCCTGATTTGTTTGTTTTAAAACAATTATGAGTTCTGGTTAGCATTTTGTCAAAAAATTATTTGCATGTATATTTCTTTTTCTGTGATTAGTCAGTGCTATTGCTAATCTTTTATTATGTTGCTGGTCTTGTGACCACTTTATTTACAGGGCTCTTTTTTTTTGTATGTTTTCCATTACCATTTATCCCTCTTATCTCGTCTTCCATCTCCACCCTTCCCTCCACAGTCACCACACTGTTGACCATGTCAATGAGTTCTTTCTCTTTTTGGCTTGATCCCTCTACCCCAACCCCACCACCAGAGCTGTCATCATGCTTTCTATCTGTGAGTCTTTCTCTGTTTTGCTTGTTAGTTCAGTTTGTTCATTAGATTCCACATATGAATGAGATCATTTGTTAAGGAAATCAGCCATTTGTTTTGCGATATGCATTACAAATTGTTTTGGTTTGTCACTTAGTGTTGGTATGGTAATTTTTCTTTGTGCTACACAGTAAATTTTAAAATGGTCTGGTGTCAAGTATACCAGTCTTTTTCTTTTCCAATTTTGATCTTTGTGACATGGTTAGATAAGTGTTCAATTTAAAATTATTTTAAAAATATCTCTTTTGTTCCATTCTAGAGGTTTACTAGATTTCATTTTTTACACCAAATCTTATGTAAATTTTTACATTTACATAAATCTTTGATCTATCTGGAGTTTGAGTTTAAAATAAGGAATAAGATCATCAAATCTTTTTATTTATTTCTTCAAATAGCTTGCCAGGTATGCTAATGCCATTTAGTGGTAAATTGATTTCCACATGATTCAGTTGATTTAAAACTCCAACCTTATCATACAGTAAACCACAACCAGTTCCTTTTTGCTTGATCCCTCCATTCCCTAACCTCCCCCTCCCTGGCTGTCTTCCTGCTATCTATGAGTCTGTCTCTATTTTGCTTGTTAGTTCAGTTTGTTCACTGAATTCCACATATGAGTGAAGTCATATGGTATTTGTCTTTTTCTGACTGGCTCATTTCACTTAACATAATACTATCTAGGGCCATCCATGCTGCTGCACACAAAGAGTAAAGTTTTCTCTTTTTTACGGCCTAGTGGTATTTCATTGTATAAATGTTCCATAGTTGTTTTATCTACTCATCTACAGATGGATAAAACACAACTAGTTGGATCAATTTCTAATTCTTTTTCTTTGCAGTCTCTTCTAGAACAGCCAAACATTATATATATAATTTAATTTTAAAACCTGGTGGCCAATTTTATTTTGACATTTGAGTCCTATTTTCTATAATTAAGGCATGCATTTTATTTATTAAAAACTTTCCTGAATAGAGCTTTAAAGTTTTCTTTAAACTTTACAGATAAACATCCTTACATATTTCTTTGAAGTCTATTCACAGGTATTTTATCTTTTCATAACTATTGGAAATGAAATCTTTTTCTTTTAACTTTGTGTGTTAGGCATTATTTACATATAGGAGAGTTACTGATTTTTATAAATCAATGTTTTAAAGATTTTACTTATTTAATTGTAGAGAAAGGAAAGGGAGGGAGAAAGAGTGGGAGAAAAATATCAATCTGTGAGAGCAACACTGATGGGTTGCCTCTCTCATGCCCGCAATCCACACGTATGTCCTGACCAGGAATTGAACTGGCGTCCTTTTGGTTTGCAGAAAGACACCCAAGTCAATGAGCCATATCAGTCAGGGCAGATTTTTGCAAATTCATTTTGTAACTATTTTCCTATCATTTAATGATTTTTAAAAGATGACTGTCTTGGGTTTTCCAAATACAAATTCATATAATATAAAAGGGATATTAATTTCCTCCCTTACTTCTATATAGTCTCTTTCATTCCTTTCTCCTATCCATTAGTATTGGCTAGTACTCTCAGAGCAATATTTAAAAAATGACAATGGTGGAAATTTTTACCTTTCAACTTCTTAAAGGATTCTTCAAGTGCAAAGATACTCTCAGGCATTATAAACAGAGAGGATATACACATGCTGTGCAACATAACTGATATTTGGAAAGACAAGGCATTAACGAACTGCAAATGTTTGGTGTAGTGAAGCATAGGTTCCCTAGGAACAAGCCTACCTTTGACATTGGGTAAGAACAACAAATGGAGGCCCATATATCACATGCCTAATATGCACAATTTACAAAATAAAGATAATAAAATATGTTCTATCCTTCCCCCACCCTTAACAAATATATTTTATAATAATTTGGAAGATAGAATACTTGGAATTCTTGGAGTTCATGCTGGACTGAGGTGCTGAAGGGAACCCATCTCTACCCACACTCATGGCTGCAGACGTGTGCAGATGGCAGCCTACAGGTACACACTCTATTTGGCCGCTGCCAAGAGCTATCCCTTGGCTACTCTAAAAGCCTAGGTGTGTGAACACCAGCAGTGTGGTTCTCCCTTACAAAGGTGATCTGGGAAGGACTCTTACAGACTCTGGGAGTAAGTGAAGGGCCATTTGGGCAGGAATTTTAGGGTCCTGTTTTCTGGACGATGGTCTGTAAAGGGTGGATATAAGGTACTCTAGCTGGGCACTTATCCCATGGGGTGGGGTGCAGTAGAAAGAGGCCCAGAATTGCCTTAAAGAATGTGGCCAAGGCAGGGTCTCTTGTCTGGATCTGAAGGTAATGCAGCCTGTGAGTGATAACGTGACTAGAAATGCATGTCTGTATTCTGTAGGGAGCAGGCAGCCTTTGAAATGAACTGAGTTTGCCATTGGAAGATGGAAAGAACCTGAAAATGTGGGAGGTGGATTAGAGGAGAGCATTTTGGGAGGGGACAATTGAGCAAGGAGTTGAATCAAAACAGCTCAGAGCATGTTTGGGGGACTCTGAGCATTTTGGGGGTAAAAACAAGTATATATAAAAGAGATTAGTGACAAACAAACTGGGTGGGAATAGAGTATACCATATTGTTAAGAGTTTTGTGTGCTAGGGAGATTTTAATAACTACTGAATGTAGACCCCATCAACAGAAATTTGAGCAGTAGAATGACTTGACTAGGGCTCAGCTTTCAGGGAGTTAATTTGGCAGTACATGCAAAATGGACTGAAGAGAAAAGGGTGTCAGTAGGACCACTGACTAGGATGTAAAAACTGTGGAAATTAATGAGATCATTCAGGGAGAGAAAAATAGGTAACAGCAAGGGTTAAAAAGGACAGCTATTTGGGAAAGGTGTATCTTTAAGGCTGGGGATAGGAGCAGCAGTCTTAGGTGCCTAAAGATGTTCAGACTAGCTCATACCAGGAAGTGGTAAGAAATCTGTTAAGTACAGGCATTTACAACACACCTGGCTTATAAGAGATGAGATCTGTTTTGTTGTAGTCTTATTTCTTTCAGTAATAGCTTAGAACAAAACCAAACCTTGAGATCTTTAGGCAAGGACATAATCTTAATCAGTAAAATATATGTTGCTCTGGATTTTTTGCTATCTATAGGCAAGAAAACATTCTTCTGAATTCACGACTTTCTTCTCCAGATGCTCCATGACTTACAGTGGGGTTACATCCTAACAAACCCATTTTAAGTTGAAAATGTTGTCAATTATAATGCATTTAATACACCTAACCTACCAAACATTAGCCTAGCCTACCTTAAATGTGCTCAGAACACTTAGTAATTGCCTTCCTCTTCTTAGCAGAAGTAGGAGACACAGATGGGCATTCTGTAGACATGATGGAATGCAAAAACACAAAACACAATATTCAAAACATGCTGACAGCACAGTGTGCTGTAGAGTGCCTGCTGTTTACCTGGTGATCACATGCACAACTGGGAGCTGCAGCTTGCTGCCATGGTCTCATGCCAAAAGAGAATATTGTACCACATATTAACCAGCCTAGGGAAGATCAATTGATTTTGTTTTAATTATATTTTATTGCTTATGCTAGTACAGTTTAGCCAATTTTCCCTCATTTTACCCCCCTCCACCCTGCACCCCCAACCCTCCAGCTCCCCCCCCACTTAGTTCATGCCCTTGGGTCATACATATAAGTTCTCTGAGTTCTCTGTTTTCTATGCCATTTTTATCTCTCTCATTTCTTTTATGCCTACTAATTATGCTTCTTCTTCCCTGTACCTTTCCCCCATATTCCTTACCTCCCCCTCTCCACTGAAAACCCTCCATGTGATGCGCATTTCTCTGATTCTGTTCCTTTTTTAGTTGTTTGCTTAGTTTTTGTTTTCATTTCTTTTATTTTTTTAGGTTCATTTGTTGATAGTTGTGAGTTTGTTGTCATTTTACTATCTATATTTTTTATCTTCCTTTTCTTAGATAAGTCCCTTTAACATTTCATATAATATTGACTTGGTGATGATGAACTCCTTTAACTTGACCTTATTTGGGAAGCACTTTATCTGCCCTTCCATTCTAAATAATAGCTTTGCTGGATAGAATAATCTTGGATGTAGGTCCTTGCCTTTCATGAACTCAAATACTTCTTTCTAGCACCATCTTGCCTGCAATGTTTCTTTTGAGAAATCAGCTGATAGCCTTATTGGCACTTCTTTGTAGGTAACTTTTTCCTTTTCCATGGGTTCTTTAAGGATTTTCTCTTTCTCTTTAATCTTGGGTAATTTACTGATGATGTGCCTTGGTGTGTTCCTCTTTGGGTCCACCTTCTCTGGGACTCTCTAGGCTTTCTGGACTTCCTGAAAGTCTATTTCCTTTGCCAGATTGGGGAAGTTTTCCTTAATTATTTGTTCAAATAAGTTTTCAAATTCTTGCTGTTGTTCTTCTCCTTTAGGCTCCCCTAGAATTTGGATGTTGGAACATTTCAGGTTGTCCCAGAGGTTTGTAAGAGTCTCTTCACTTTTTTGATCTCTTGTTTCTTCATTGTGTTCCAGTTGGATGTTTATTTCTTCCTTTTTTTCAAAATTGTTGATTTGTATCCTGGCTTCCTTCTTGTCAGTGTTGGTTCACTGAATATTTTGCTTTATTTCATTGTGGGTATCTTTCATTTGTTCTTTCATTTTTCAACCAAGTTCAATCAGTTCTGTGAGCATTTTGATTATCAGAGCTTTAAATTCTCCATCAGATAGGCTGGCTATATCCTCATGGCTTAGCTGTCTTTCTGAGGTTTTGCACTGTTCTTTCATTTTGGCTCAATTTCTTTGTTTGGGGCCCTTGTTAAGTTGTAAGGGGGTGGGTCCTTAGGTATTCACCTGGGCAGGGCAAACCTCCTTGCTGCACTGGCCTGTTGCCTGTCAGGAGAGGGGCCAGAGAGAGAACAGTGCAACTTGCCTGCTCATCTCTGGCCCACTTTTTAGTGATCTCTCTCATGTGAGACTGGGAGTTTCTCCCACCGTGGCAACCTCCATATCCCCCATCCACCTTTGAGTCTCAGTTTCTCCTTAAGTCAGCCCTTCCCACCCAGCCTGCCACCTCACAGCAGCTAGTCCCACCCCCATGGACTGCAGCCTCAGGTTTCTCTCCAATTGTTGCCTCACTGGTCTGGTTGTTCTGTTTGACTGTTTCTTTAATTCCAGGGTTCACAGAGTTTGATGAAGTTTGATTTTTCTGGCACTTCTGGTTATTTATTTATTTTAGATTGGCTGTGATCCTTTTTTTGGTTGTGTGAGGAAGCAAAGGGTTTCTACTTATACCTCCATTTTGGCCGGAACTCTCAGAAATTTCATTTTCAAAGTACTGTTTCTACTAAAAGCATATTGCTTTCCCAGTACTGCAAAGTCGAAAAATTTTAAGTCGAATAATTGTAAGTCAGCAAGTGTCTGTATAACTGTTCTCACTTCAAGTTATAATGTCTAGTTTAGTAACTGGAATGGTTAATAACTATAGAAGAACCCAAGAACCCAGTGGGCAGACTCTAGCCTTATTCAACAGCTTTTGCACGATAGATTTTTTACTAAGTTGGCTATAATGATAAAATGGCACGTTTGCCTCTGAAATTTCTAAAACCTGGTTAATGCTTTCAAGTGTCCAGATTTAAAAAATGTCTTTTCCATTAGTTAAATATTTATTCATTATTTCTCCAAAGGAGATGTTTTTCTGCCCTTTTCTCAAGGGTAATTAAGATTGAAGCTTATTGATAAAATCAACATTTAGTCTATTAGTCCTTATACTGTAACTAGACCTGATGACAAGTTCCAGGAAAAACAAAAAAAATCTCTAATAATTAATATTTGATTTATAATTTTCTACCTAAGAGAAAACTAATGGCTTCTTAAAAAAAACTCAACAAAATACTGAGTATTGTGATTTAGTTACTCTCAAACTTAACTACCAGTGACTGAACATATTTAGTGTGCCAAGATTCTATTTTATATACATTATTTTATTTAATACAATTATTTCCCTCAATTTTTAGTGAAAAAACTGAGACACTGAAATATGCGGTAATTTTTCTAAATTCATAAAGCACATAAAGTAAATGCGTCAGGATTTGAAACTAGGTAGTTTTAATTTGCATCTCTCTGATAGCTAATGATATTGAGCATCTCTTCATGTGTCTCTGGATATTCTGTATGTCCTCTTTGGAGAAGTGTCTGTTCAAGCAGAGAGGAAGAAGGAGCTACTACCCTTTGCAACAACATGGATGGAACTGGAAAGCATTATGCTGAGTGAAATAGGCCAGGCATTGAAGGACAAATACTATATGATCTCACCTTTGACAGGAAGCTAAACCATAAAACAAACACGCAAACAGAATAAAAACAAAGACACTGAAATAGAGAACAAGGGGGCAGTGACCAGAGGGGAAAGAGAAGGAAATTTAAAAGGAAAAATGGGGAGGGATTTTGAGGAACAAGTATGAAAGACACAGGGATGAGGACTGGGGGAAGGGAATGGGAGAGAGGGGGGAGACAGGGCGGGGGGGGGCTGGGATGGGAGAAATAGACAAAAATGTACTTGAAAAATAACTAAATAAAAAATTAAAAAAAAAAAGAAACCAGGTAGGCTGATTCCGGAGCCCCCAGCGTAAGCTATACCACCTCCCCATTTATGATTGCTCAGAGTGTATTCATTGTATCCTCAGAAAATTCATTCATGATTTTTCTCTTTTTTTCTAATTTGAACACCTAAAAGAAAAGTGTAGGCACATTAGAGTGAGTTCAGTCATGTTTTTCTTAGTTCTTTCAGGCACTTTTAATCTTTATTGTTGTGTAGCTGATATTGTCAACCTTTGATAGTTCAGAATGTTGTTTTGTGTTTTCATATTCATTGCTTCAACAAGTCAAACAACTTTGTTGACTAACTTAGGAAATATTCTTAGCTCCGGGAAAGGAAGAGGCACATGAACAACTTTGAGAATCCGATGAAAGCTAATCATCTGTTCCTAGAAAGTTTCACTCATACAAAATTTTGCATGCAATTTCAGAGACTTCGTGAGTTTATCAGATTCCTGTTACTGCTTCCTCATAGACCAATGACAAAAAAATCCCAGCTTTCCAAATAAGAGTCAACCAACCATTTCCCATTTACTTCTGTGAGAAGAAAAGCACACCTGTCCAATAGCCCTGTGCTCTTCTAGAATTGAAACTGTTCTCTTGGCTGCCTTGTAGTTTTTATTATGACAGCCGTATAAGTAGATACAACTTACCCACCCTATTGGACAGTCAGGATTCCCAGTGCCAAGGAAGCAGCCATGTAGAGTATTTCCAACTGGACAAACAGACTCCTTCATGTCTTGCTGCAAGGTTTGGTTTCTGTGTTGTCCACCAACAAACCTGTATTTATAACATTAAAGGGTAAAGAGTCTGTTTTTTCTTGTTATTCCATAGCTTTCTGGGTACCAAGGAAGGTTCTGTATTTTACACCTGATTTAAACCACCCTTGGGAATTAATATCCCTGAGTCATTTTGGTAATTAATGATGCCTCAGGTTATGATGCTTTGGGGAATGTTCTTTGGATGACTATTAAGTCTTTGATGCTTGGAGACAGACTTCCTGCCCTTGGCAGGGCATCTGCAGTGGGTGGCCTTGAAGTTGTGGCTGGGGTAGAGAACCAGTTAATATTTTATAGGGAATTAAGCACAGTCATGCAAAGATTGTATAACTAAGATACATCCATGAGATATTTTTGCTTGCAAAGAAAACAAGGCCTCGGCTAGCGTATTTATCACAAAATATAGTGTAAAAGTACTCTTTGTTTCTCCTATTTTCATTTTCTCTATTGTTTCCTGTTGAATCAAATGAAGTAATAAGATCATATTCAAAAGCAGGTCACTGACTAAATGTTCTACTGGTCCCAGAGTTCTCCTTACTTTTGCTCGTCTCCATTCATTCTGGATTGAAAATGGGGCAATCTGTACTACCTGCTGTGGCTAGGTCAAGTTTTCAATGCACTGGGTCTTTCCATGGCCACTGGGGAAGAGATGAGTGCCTGGTTCTCTAAGCCATTCATTATGGCGATTTATCACTGCCCACATCCCCACCACTCAAAGCAAGGCTGAGCTAAGATGACAGCATTCTCCAATTTAAAAGTACATTCTCTATCTCTCAACATTTCCCAAGTTCAGTAATTCATACCAAAGAGGAGGATGCTGGAACAGAAGTGTATTTGTGTCAGGTCTGTAGACATTATTCTAATGGTCTTTCCTATCAACTGTGTCCTTTTAAGTAACTTGTGGCGTGTAAGGCTATGACTTTTCATTCTGGTTAGGGGGAAGAATTTCTAGGCTATATTTGGTGTTGAGTGAAATGTAAGTTTGATCTTAAAATATGGGGCATTACTGACTTCTTCATGCTAAATTTAAAGCATAATATGATAAGGACATATTAGTGGTAAGACAATAAGGTGTTGGTATGTGACTAGGACTGCAGGTGTGTCCTCCTTTCTCATGGGTGGCCATTC